TGGTTTGTCAAGTCCAATTTCGTGGGTCCAGGGTCCACGACTTCACTGCTCTTAGGGGAGTTAACTAAGGATGTCCGCTTTCTGGAGTTCTCTTCGCTCGTTGTCTGGATCCCCTTCTCCAACATCTCGCCACCTTATCTACATCTATGGCAAGAGTCGTTTCTGCATTCGCCGATGATTTATGCCTGACGGCCTGCGACATCATCGCAGGCCTGTGCTGTGTGGTGCGAGCAATGTGCACCTTTGGGATCTCCTCGGGCCTGATCTTGAATCACACGAAGTGTGTCGCCATCCTTCATAATCCTGGATTATTCGCTAATGCACATCAGCTGTTCCGTGCGCGTGGCATCCGAGTGCGGGGTTTCAAGATTCAGTTGCATGGCAAGTCCCTCGGCTTTGTTCTTGGCCACCATGGCCCAGAGCTGTCTTGGCGGGCAGCCGCCAACAAACTAATGCGTAGGGCGCACATCGTCAAGAAAATTGGGGAAGGCTTCATCGTGAGTGTGTGCGCGCACAACAGATACGTGTTGCCCGTTACCTCGTATGTTGGCTAAGGCTTTCGCCCCACCAAGTCCGCTCTCCAGGTTGAACGTGAGACACATCAACTGTGCACGTGCGCTCTCCGTCACTCGATCCCGCCTGGTCTGTTTTCGAGGATGAAGGAGCTTGGTTTCTTTGTTCAAACATCGTCGTTGCAGGTGCAATCTCTCGCTGCCAGGTTGCGGGTCGCCCACTGCTCCGAGGTATTCCAGGAATGTCTCCAGAAGTTTCAAGCAGCCAGAGAGTCCGACGAATTCGTTCCAGCCTACAGGTGCAGTCCCTTCTTCAGGCACTCGCTTTTTGTGCAGCTGATGGAGGATTACTCGAGGTCGAACTACCCCTCTCGCCTTCCTCATGATTGTAGTCGTAAACAGCGTCGCCTTGCCAAGCTGATTTTCGTTGACTCCTGTACTGGACCTGTTTCGAGAGTGCTGGCGCCGCGCCTTCAGAAGTGGCACCCGTTGTCTTCCGAGATGGAGCTATGCACATCCTTCTGCCTCTTTCTTCGAGCCTCCGACCTGGTTCCTGAGTGCATGATCGTTAGCTTGCTGACGACTATTTGTAACAGTTGGAACACCACGAGGAGGTACAGACCAGGTCCTGGTAGATGCGTATTCGGATGTCCATGTGTTGGTGGTGATGACCTATTGCATTATGTTTCCTGCTGCAGTATTCTCCCTACCCTTCGTCGCCATCTTCCTGCTTTTCCTCAAGATTATGGGCGTGATCCTCTGAGCTCCTTCCTCCCCCGTCGATTTACCCGGGCTTCCTCCGACGCCCTGCCTTCTTATTTTTTCGCCTTAGATTCCATTCGCTCCACCTTCCAAGCCCTGCGTGGTTCCCTGTCTAGCTCTGATGTCAGTTCTCGGCAGATTCTGATCGGTAGGTTGAGGGCCTCCATTCGGAGGTCCCCCAAGTTGCAAGGCTTGCTCAGGTAGAGCGCTCGTGGGACGATGCTCTCGGCGGGTGGGTTTCCTCGTCCTCCTCCTCCTCCTCCTCCTCCTCCTCCTCCTCCTCCTCCTCCTCCTCCTCCTCCTCTCGTTCCCCCTCGAGCCCCTCCTCCTCCCCTCCTCCTCCTCCTCCTCCTCCTCCTCCTCCTCCTCCTCCTCTTCCTCTTCCTCCTCCACATCGTCCCGTCCTCATCTCCTCCACCTCCCTGCCCGGGGCAATACGTCTTGAAAACACATGCAGCGTTTCTGGCTTCTGGCCATTTCTGAGCCTCCTCGTTGCCACACGGCCCGATTCGCCTCGAAGCTCTGGCCACAGCGCTCCGTGAGAGGTCCGGGGATCGAGTGCGAAGGCCTGGAGCGCAGAAGTCCAACGTCTTGCCAAAAACAGGACAGCTTTTTCCCGATTGCGGTCCACAGGGGCCTTTTGTCGGGCTCCAGGGCCGCCAACAGACGAGTCGGAGTGAAACAGGCTCGGGTGGTCTGGGGGCCCCGCATCCGTACGAATCAAGGCATCGGACGTCTGGGGCTCCGTCCTCCTCCCATTTTTATTGTCATTCTCATTTTCCTTATCTTTCTGATTCTCGTTTTCGTTTTCGTTATCATTTTGTCTCTCTCTCCACCTCCCATTTCCACGGATCGTAGTTCTGTCCTTCCACATGTTCGTTCGTCTCGGACAGGCCCTTTGATGGTGCCACTGCTTGTCGATGGGTGAGGTACGTCCCCAGCGGTGTAAGTGGGCCCTGGCTTCGTTCTGACATCCCTTAGACCTCTGGCGACCCGAAATTAAAATTCGAGCTGGAGGATTTTGCGGAAGGTTCTGCGGCGCCCAGGGGCTGCTAGACCCCGGGGCGGTCATCAGAGCGACTCGGGATGAGAAGCTCCAGGCCCCCAGATGGGGTTGGAGTGCATGGGGTCGGAGGATCGCTCCGCATCGCCGACACATCGATGATGCGGTTCGATATGGAGCCATAATTTCTCTCCACGTCGATGGTGCCGATTCATCACTGACGTCGACGATGCATTGCCGATGCATCGCCGATGCACTGGCGATGCGGCGCGATCCCCCGACCAAATCCACTCGGACCCCATCTGGGAGGCTTCTGGAAGCTGGCCCCAGGGCAAGGGGTCGAGAGCTCTGGGGGGCGCGTGACTCCAAGTGTCGGCGACTACAAAGGGTATGGTTACGCCGGGGTGTGGTTTGCGATCGGCCGTCGGGGCCTGGGGGACACGACGCTGTCCTCGTCGGGCTTCCTCGGGGCGCGGCGGAGAGCTCTGTCAAGGTCCTCGCCCGCCCCCCAGGGTGCCCCTCAGAGTGCCGGTTGCAAACCACACCCTTTGCAAACCACACCCTTCGGAGTCGCCGAAAGTAGTGGGGATCACAACCAGCCCCTCCGGCGAATCTTGGCAGTGGGCGTGCACGAAGGCGGCCAGCAGGTCAGCGGGCACGTCTCCAGACTCCGAGACGGCCAGGAGCAGCTCCCCCCGCACGAAGGGCAGCGCGCCCGCTTTCCCTCGACCGCTTGGGCAGCCGCCTCCCCCTCCGTGCTAGACTTGGCCTGCCTGCTCGCCCTCCTCCTCCTCCTCCTCCTCCTCTCCTCCTCCTCCTCTCCTCCTCCACCTCCTCCGACTCCTCCGCCTCCTCCTCCTCCTCCTCCTCCTCCTCCTCCTCCTCCTCCTCCTCCTCCTCCTCCCCCTCCTCCTCCCCCTCCTCCTTCTTGTCCGAAGGGGTACGGACGGGCTCCCCGGCGGAGCTCGCACGGCTCGGGCGTTCGCTCCTTCGTTCGTTCTTCCTTACTGCTGTCTCCATCCTTACCATACCAAGACCAGTGGAAACCCGGTTCTCTGGACCCGCCCAGGGTTTCACCCTGCCCGGTCTTTCGTCCCTGATGAACTGTTCGGCTGCCCCATGAGCTCGAAGCGGTCCCTCTGGGGTCCGAAGCCGATGAAGACCTGCAGGGCGCGACTTTTCAGCTGTTGTCTTTATTGTCCAAGTTCTCCGACGCCTTGATTTTTTCACAGCGTGGTTCCCCGGAGGTCTGCACTCCGGGGCTCGCTTTTTCGACCCAGTTCTTGATGGACGGGCCCAGGGCCCAGCGATGGCCCTCGGAGGCAGAAAATTGCGCGAGACTTTCCGTCGTGGTTCTGCCCACGGCGCGGGGCCACGCCTCGCGGGCTCCCGCGGTTCCTCGCGGGACGACGCGGGCACACCAAGAACGCTCCCAGCGTGGCGCCCCATGGGTGGAAGACCTTCGAGAGCCCTCGATCACCTCGCGAGGACGTCAGGGTTGTGCCTTGGAGCGGTCTGAGGCCTGGTTCCAGCTGGCAGAGAAGGGGGGGATCAGACTCGAGGTTCTGGGTTCGAGTTTTTTTTTGTGCAGCCTCCGGGGGCCGTTTTCTGACCCTGGGACCGTCAAAGACGTATCTGGGGGAAAAACTGCACCAGATGGACCCCAGGAGGGGTCCAGGGAGCGATTTTGAAGGGATTTGGCCTCATCCCCCTTTTTGCCTTTTTTCTGGGGTCCCAACCGGGAGCGCTTTTCCCATTCCCTGCCGGTGCGACCCTGACCATGGAGTGGGGAAGGGGGGAAGGGGCCGGTCACGTCGCGATTCTCGCCGGCGCCGTTTGGGAATGCTTCAGAATGGCTAACTCCCAGACGGTGTTGGCTCGAATCGTGACGTGACCAGGGGGGGAAGTGGGGGTGGCGGGGCGGTCATGGGGGCGATCGCGATCTATAGAAACACGGACTCCAGTTCAGACCCACTGGCCGCCTCCAAGTTGTACCCGTGCCCGCTCCTCGAGGAGCTGATGCGCCGCCAGCGTCACCGATGCACCGCCGACGTCGCCGACGCATCGGCGCTGCATCGTCGATGCATCGGCGATGCGGCGGCGATACTCCGACCCAGTCTACGGTCGGACCGAGGTAGAAGGTCGAGGTCGGTTCGGGGAGGGTACCCTGATTTTTATTCGTGATTGTTGGATGTTCTTGTGCATCCTGGGGTGGGTACCCTGGGCTGTTTTGCGTGCTTTCTGTCCGGCGGAAGGCCTCATGTGCTCTTGAAGGGTGATCCGATTGCACTCCGACCCCATCTGGGAGGCCTTCCAAAGTGCCCCCGATCACTTCGCGAGAACGTCGGCGGGGGTAGCTTTCGAGGATCGGAAAACATGAGGGGGGAGGGGGGGGTCGTGCAGGGGAGGTTCAAGGGGGTGGGTAGCTAGGGCCCCCACCTCTGGGAATGTCGCATCGCTCCTTCGCTCCTTGGACGGAGTGCCCGTGTCAGCTCCTTGAGAGGAGCGCCCGATCACGACGCGAGGACGTGAGGAGGAGGAGGAGGAGGAGGAGGAGGAGGAGGAGGAGGAGGAGGAGGAGGAGGAGGAGGAGCAGGACCAGGAGCAGGAGGCGGAGGAGGAGGATGCGGAGGAGGCGGAGGAGGAGGAGGAGGAGGCGCAGGAGGAGGAGGCGCAGGAGGAGGCGGAGGAGGAGGCGGAGGAGGAGGCGGCCGCTCCCTGAGAGGAGCTGGCCGCGGGCTGCGAGCTGCGGATCATCGTCGACGACGACAAGCATGCGCGGGTGACGGCCGCCCCGTCGGCCGCGCGCCCCCCCGCCCTCGGCCCTCTCGGGGGGCAGCCCCGGGCCTCCCACCCCTCCGCGCCGACGCGGGCGCTCGAGGCGAGGCGGCCGAGCGGGGGAGCTCGGGGGAAACGACAGGGGGGAATAGGCATACGCAGGGGGGGGCCGCATCGACCCAATCGCCCACTGATCGCCGATGACGCAGGGGGGGACGCATCGACGCCCAATCGCCCACTGGTCGCCTATGGGGGCCCGCTAGCCCCAACCTGCACACGAAGGTGCGGACTCACTATCGGGGGCCTATCGCCGATCCATCGGCGATGTATCGCCGATTCCCCCTGATCATTGCCCCTCAGGAGCGGGGAGTGACCACGTCGGCCGCGCGCAGGAAGGGGACGCGGGGAAGGGGGAAGGCTTCTCAGGAGCACCCCATGCTCCTCAGAAGGCGCGGGCCTCGTCTGCAGATGCAAGGCCCGCGCCTGCTGAAGTAAGCGGGGTACCTCTGAGAAGCCTTCCCCATCCCCCGACTCCCGTCATCGTCATCGTCGTCACCGTCAACGTCATCGTCATCGTTATTGTGATCGTGATCATTGTCACCGTCGTCGTCATCGTCGTCGTCATCATTGTCACAGTCGTCGTCATCGTCGTCATCGTGGTCGTCATCGTCATCGTCATCGTCGTCGTCATCATTGTAACCGTCGTCGTCATCGTCGTCGTCATAGTCGTCGTCATCACTGTCACTGTCGTCGTCTTCGTCGTCATCGTCATCGTCGTCGTCATCGTCATTGTCATCATCGTCGTCATCATTGTCACCGTCGTTGTCATCGTCGTCGTCATCATCGTCGTCGTTATCATTGTCACTATCGTCGTCGTCGTCGTCGTCATCGTCGTCGTCGTCGTCATCGTCGTCGTCGTTTTCGTCGTCGTCGTCGTCGTCATCGTCGTCGTCATCGTCATCGTCGTCGTCATCATCGTCACCGTCGTCGTCATCGTCGTCGTCGTCATCGTCGTCGTTATCATTGTCACTGTCGTCGTCTTCGTCGTCGTCGTCTTCGTCGTCGTCATCGTCATCGTCATCGTCGTCGTCGTTGTCCTCCTCGTCATCTCCGTCGTCGTCGTCATCGTCGTCGTCATCGTCATCGTCATCGTCGTCGTCATCATTGTCACCGTCGTCGTCTTCGTCGTCGTCTTCGTCGTCGTCGTCGACGTCGTCATCGTCGTCGTTATCACCGTCACTGTCGTCGTCGTCGTCGTCGTCGTCATCGTCGTCGTCATCGTCATCGTCATCGTCGTCGTCGTCGTCGTCGTCGTCCTCGTCATCATTGTCACTGTCGTCGTTTTCGTCGTCGTCGTCACCGTCGTCGTCGTCGTCGTCGTCGTCGTCGTCGTCGTCGTCGCCGTCGTCATCGTCATCGTCGTCGTGGTCATTGTCACCGTCGTCGTCTTCGTCGTCGTCGTCGTCATCCTTATCACTGTCACTGTCGTCGTCATCGTCGTCGTCGTCATCGTCGTCATCGTGGTCGTCATCGTCACCGTCATCGTCGTCGTCATCATTGTCACCGTCGTCGTCGTCGTCGTCGTCATCGTCGTCGTTATCACCGTCACTGTCGTCGTCTTCGTCGTCGTCGTCATCGTCGTCGTCATCGCCATCGTCATCGTCGTCGTCGTCCTCATCATCATTGTCACTGTCGTCGTCTTCGTCGTCTTCGTCGTCGTCGTCATTGTCGTCGTCATCGTCATCGTCATCTTCGTCGTCATCATTGTCACCGTCGTCGTCGTCGTCGTCGTCGTTGTTGTCGTTATCACTGTCATTGTCGTCGTCTTCGTCGTCGTCGTCATCGTGGTCGTCATCGTCATCGTCATCGTCGTCGTCGTCGGCATTGTCACCGTCGTCATCATCGCCGTGACAAATTAAAGTGTTCGGGGCGGAGGGGGGTGCGCTGGCGGTTAGGCGAGGAGGAGCTGGGGCGGCTGTTTTTTTGAGGGGGGTTGGGGGAAGGGGGGCGCGGTGCCAGTGCCTTGAGTGCATGCCTAAATACAATGGTCGGGGCGTGGGGGGGGGGGCGCTGGCTTGGGGGAGGGGGAGCTGGGCTGGCTGGGGGGTGGGCGGTGGGCGGTGCCGGTGCTGTGCGTGCCGAAAGAAAGTTGTGGGTGCGGCGGGGGCTCCTGGCTGAGGGGTGAGGGAGAGCTGGGGTGGCTGGCGGGGGTGGGGAAGCGGTGCCGGTGCCGTGCGCGCGTGCCGAAATAGGATGGTTGGGGCGGCGGAGGGAGCGCGCCGGGTGGGGAGCGAGGGTGAGCTGGGCTGGCTGGTGGGGAGGAGGGGTCGCTGTCGGTGTCGTGCTTGCGTGCCGAAATAAAGTTGTAGGGGCGGAGGGGGCGCGCTGGCTGGGGTCGGGTATGGCCAGGCCCCGGGGAAGGGGAGCCGGTATCACTAAACCAGGCCTGCTGTAGGTGGTGTTCCCTTCGGGTGGCGGCAGTTCAATTAGCGGCGGGGAGTCTCCCAGTACACATCGCTGAACCAGGTCCCACTAAACCCAGTCCTGCCAACACCCGATGGAAGGCGGGGGGCAGCCGAGCCGGCGAGGCCAGGAGGGGGGGCGCGGTGCCGGTGCCGTGCGTGCGTGCCGAAGTATAATGGTCGGGGCGGTGAGGGCGCGTTGGCTGGGGCGCGAGGGGGAGCTGGGGGCGCGCTGGCTGGTGGGCGAATGGCTGCTGGGTCGGCTGCTGGGGGGGAGGAGGGGGTGCGGCGCCCGTGCTGTGCGTGCCGAAAGAAAATTGTCGAGGCGGAGGGGGCTCGCTGGCTGGGGGGCGAGGGAGAGCTGGGGTGGGGGGTGGGGGGTGGAACGCGCGGTGCTAGTGCCGTGCATGCGTGCCGAAACGAAGACGTCTCGGGGCGGAGGGGGCGCGCTGGCTGGGGGGAGAGGTGGAGCTGGGCTGGCTGGGAGGGGGGTGGGCGGCGCCGGTGCCATGCGTGCGTGCCGAAATCAAATGGTCGGAGCTCTAGACAGTCCAGTGCAGGATGATCAGATGTCTGATGTCTGGGCTTCTGGGGACCAGCTTCCATCTCGAGCTGTTTTTTGGACGGCCCGAGGGTCCCGCGAGGGCCCCTTGAGTGGCTGAAGGCGCGGAAAGAGCAGTCCGTCCTGGTCTTTGCCACGTGAGGAGCTCGGGCTTTCGGGTCGTGGCTCGGGCCCCTGGCGCCCGTTCGGGACGATTCGGGCACCCCCAGGACGCCCTTGGCGAGGCGCAGCTGTGACCCCCCCCCCCCCCGAGGCTGACACACCAGCAAAGGCGTCCAGCAAAACTTTGAGGTTTGGAGTGGCATGGGAGTTATGTTCCGTGCGGGCGAAGGGCTCTCGAGACGGGTACGGAAAGACTGGCGACGAAGACCGACAGCAGCTCCTGCCCGTCTTGTAGAGGACTCGCTGTCGGTGTCGCCGCGGGCGTTGTCCGCTTGAGACAGAAAACGCCTGCCCAACAGCTGCCGCTGTCGGTGTGAGGCAGCATGCGCTGCTGGGCATCGCCACAATTTTTCCCGTCGCCATCGCGGGCGTGCCCGACAGGGCGTGGGGCGAGGGCGAGGGGGGGGGCTTCTCAGAAGACGGAGGGTTTCCGAGAAAGGCTCGGAGGCCGTTCGGTCTTTTGGGCTTGTGAGAGGGGTTTCTGAGACGGGCCTGTCGGTATTTGGGCACAGCAGGGCGCGAGCTGAATTGTGTGTTTGGCGATTTCGTGGACCCGTGTTCGTTTTGCAGCCGAGGCGGAACGAAGACAGAACGAGGGAAAACGACACACACAACGAAAACGGAACACACTGTTTAGCTCGAATCCTGGCCCATTTTCTCCCTGCCCACTCTCGCCGAGCGCTTTCCACTACTCGCAAAGCGCCTACTCGCAAACGTCCGAAAAGCATGTGTTCGCCTCGACGTAGTAGATCGTAGATCCCCCTCGGCGGATCCAGGCCATTTGCGAGTAGCTACTCTGCGAGTAGTGGAACGCGTTTGTCTACACTCAAGTCGGGCACGCCCTTCTACAGGAGGAATATTCAAGACTAGCCAAACAATAGTTATGGGACGATCTTTCCAGCATCTTTTGACTTCTGTTGATCTTTTGACTTCGTCCAAAAATTCCGCCTGCAGGGGGACATGCCCGACCTAGGAGGAGGAGGAGGAAGAGGAGGAGGAGGAGGAGGAGGAGGAGGAGGAGGAGGAGGAGGAGGCAGCGGGACGCGCTCGTCTGCACTCGGGGCGCCCAGAGGCGCGCGCGCGCGAGGTGAAGCTGCTGCCCGAGCAGAGGGCCGCCCCGCTCGCGGGCCAGCAGGGCGCCCCGCCGGTCCGCCTCCCCGCCCTCGGATCCGCTCGTCGCCGAGCAGGCAGGCGCCACGTTCAGGCGAAGGGGAAGCAGGGAGAGAAGGGGGGTTGCAGGGGGAAACGCTTTGAACTCAGGCGATCGCAAACACGGATCGAGGGGGCGTGAATCAGCGGCGGGTCCCGTGTCTATGGGAGGTCGCGGATTTCCGCCGCCGAGCGAGGCGGCACCGGCCGCATTTTGGAGAGATCCATGGATTTGGCGACCGCGCGCCAAATCCATGGATCGCTAATCCATGTTTGCGCGCCCCCGAAACGTTAGGGGTAAGTCGGGCACGTCCCTCCACAGGAGGAATGTTCAAAAATAGTCTCAAAAAATAGTCTGGGGATGATTGTTAGACTTTTTTTTTTTTTTTTTTTTTTTTTTTTTTTTTTTTTTATTTTTGGGTGCTTCTTTGGTATTTGTCATTTTTTCGTCCAAAATCCGCCTCTAGGAGGACATGCCCGACCTAAGGTTAGGGAGGGTGGGTTAGGCTCGGGGTGGGGGATGCATTGACCTCCGATCGCCCAACGAGAGGGGCGCCGAAGTTTCGAGATTCGAGGTTTTCGGGCGCGTGTTTGTGGGTTCTCTGTGGCTTTCCAGCCTCGGGATGCCTTGCAGCAGCTGCGCCTCGCCGAGAGCAAGCCAGGGTTGCCCAGATCGCCCCGAGCGGCGGCCGGAGGGCCGAGTGGTGACCCGACAGCCATGGGGCATCGTCACGGGTGGATGGGCTCAAGGGGGGTTGGGGGGCCCCATAGCCCCAGCCCGCCCAGGTACGCGCGGGTTCGCTACCGGGGGCCCCTCGCCGATTGATCGGCGACCTACCGCAGATCCTGGCTCGATGTCCCCCCCCTCTTGAGCCAGCCCTCCCCCTATCGCTGCCCCTAGCAACGTGTGGACTTGGTCGCGCTGTGAAGCAACAAGTCAGCCGTTTTGCCACTTTGGTATCATCATGACGGGACTGTTGCTTGCCATTCTCAGCCTCTGAGGGCCCTGGCTGGGCCCTGGGATTGTCAGAGAATGGCTCGGGACGGAAAGCCGGTCCCTGGGACGTGGTACAGATCTCGCAGCAAGCACGTTGCGAACAATTTCACGAAGTCGGATGTCTGGGTCTCTGCGACTTCCACGACGATCTGGGCGTCGCACAGGAGTCGAGGGCCGTGGACCGTGCGCGAATCGAGGCTCGAGGTTCTGCTGGCGTTTTTGGGTCTCTTCTGGTCCACCTCGTCGCCTTGCCTGGATTCCCCACCCCAGGAGGTCCTGGGATCGAGGATCACCCGGATCCGTTCGCCGCGGCAGAGCTCCGCGACGCCGCCGGCTCTGCGCCGCTGCCTCGGCCCGTGGAAGGCCCGGGGCCCCCTGGGCCGACAGAGCGGCTCGGGATGCGGAGCCGGCCGGGCCAGACGAAAGGGCGGGGGGGGGGACCAGGACGGGCGACTTGGGGCCGTCACGTGATGGGAACCTGAGGAGGAGGAGGAGGCGGAGGCGGAGGAGGAGGCGGAGGAGGAGGAGGAGATACGGAGGAGGAGAAGGAAGAGGATGAGGCGGGGGGGAGGGAGCATCGCATCACGTGACGACATTCCTCTGCCTTGAGGAAGGGGGGGTGCGAAGGCTGCTGCACGCACCTGGTTCTGGCCCCGCCGCCGGGCGCATGTCTCGATGCACACTGGCGCCTGTGGTGCTGGGAGGCGCCGGGAAGCGCTTCGGCTTGCTTGCGCCCGCTGACTCAAGAAGTTTCTGGACAGCCTGTCCAGCTTCGACAGATGTTGTGCCCAGGGTCTGTCCTCCGTCCAGCTGCCTGCGGCAAAGCGCGCCACAGTGACAGCGCACCCTTCGAAGCGCACTTGGGGAGGTTTTGTACAACCTCCCGCAAGGCTCGCTAGAACCATCTTTGGGAAATCATGGAAGCAGCCCCACTATGCCATTTTGGAGGGGCGTCGCGGCAACGCTGCGCAGTTGTTGTGTCAACTCTTGGGCGGGCATCTCTTGGGAGTTGCTTGCAGACTTCTTGGGGACCTGCTGGGGCCGTCTTGGGGCCTCTGCGGGGCCGGTCGGGGGCACTTTTGGGGTTTTGGGACTGTCTAGGCGCGATGGTTCTACCAAGCTCTCTCTCGAGGCGCCTTGGTAGACTTATGCTGAGGCCGTCTGGGCGCGTCTACGGGCCGTCTTGGAGCCTTCTTGGGCGGTCGTGGGCTGCATTGAAGGGTTCTCGGGCTAGCTGGGAGTTGTCTTCGGGTCGTCTTGTCCTGGTGGCTGGTTGCGGCCTTCTGGTGCCGTGGTGCCGTTTTTGGACTCCGAAATGCCGTGTTGACCACGTCAGAAGCATGAGACACGAAAAGCATTCACAAACGATATTTTTGTTGTGTTCTGACCCTCGCGAAATCATGTTGGAAAGTCCCTTGGGCGCTGTTCGGGGGCTGCGTGGGGCCACCCCCTGCCTGGAAGCCTCTGCAAGCTTCTTGCAGCCGTCTTGCAGCGTTGTGGGGCCGTCTTAGTCTTGAACCTGCCTTGAGGCCGAAGGTAGCGGCGAGGACCAACAGGTAAACGGGACCGTCGCATCATACGGGGCCAAGTCGGAGGGGTGGGAGCGGGGGGGGGCGCTTTGCGAACATGCCAGGGATATTTCCAGACAGCCAACAGGCCCTCGATCACGCCCCAGCTTGCCGAACGTACTGTTGCGACTTAGACCTCTCGTCGTGGCGGAGGGGCGGACAGGCGCGGGTTGCATTACCTATCTCTGCGAACTGCGTTGCCCACGCCTGGTGCTCGCTCTGTCCACCACACGTTCGCATCTTGCGTCGGATGGCTGGGAAAGGGATGTGCCCCGCGACAGTCGCGGAGGAGTGCAAGTCCCTCGCCAAAGGGGAAGATGTCGATGAAACGTGTGATCGTGTCTGGAACGAACTGAGGTTGTCCTGTTGTTGCCAGGGCCTCGGAAACCGGTGAGCGATGGTGTTTCTTAGTGAAGGCTTGTGCCTGTGGGGCACAAGCGAACGCGAACGATATCAGCAACGGCTACGGCGACAGTTACGTTGGTGATGTTATTGCCGATTTAAGTTGCGGTGGTGACGGCGATCGTGGTGATGATGCTTGTTGTGCTGATGCGTGTGGTAATGTTGATAACGGTAGGACGATATCTATGCTGGGCCTGTTCCTTGCAATCAGGTCACCGCTACCGCCGAGATTTTTGGCGCAGAGCTCGTGCCGGGACAGGACTGTGCAGCACCCTGCTTTTGTTCAGAGAGGGCCGTAGCGTGCATAAGCAGGAGCATTGACGATGTCTAGATCGACGGTGATACTTGCGTTTTCTGTCCCCTTCAGCTCATCCCGACACGATCCCACGGCCTTGCTCGGGAAGGTGTAGGACCAGGCGGTGGAAAAGAGAGGGTAACAGCTTTCAAAGGCGAGCTCGGGATCAGCCTGAGCAGACCCAGGACTCAAAAAGAATACAGTCGCGGATCTGTTTCGTTCGATCTTTTGTTGAGTTCTTGACGGCTTCTGGGGGCCATGCTCAGTCGTTGTTGATGCCATTTCGCAGACTTTCGGGGCTCTCCTGAGGCCTTCTTGAAACCATGTAGGCCATCGGCTAAAGCTTAGGGTCCTCTTGGGACGCTCTTGGGGCGCTCTCTTGTTCGATATCGGAGCCATGATGATGTGTCGGAAGCCCATCGGAAGCGAAAAGGCGAGAAGGCAAACCATGTGGGCACACCTTCAGTTTTCACTGATGTTGGCCTCCCAGCGGTATCCGTGGGAGATTCTGAGGCCCTTCGCGGCAGTCTTGGAGACTCTTGGAGATATGCTGGACTCTTGGGTTATCTTGTGGGATATTGGGCCGAGGCCACCCTGAAGCCATCTTGGGCCATCTGGGACGCCCCACCCCATCGGGTGACCATGGTCCCCCCGAGACGCGCCAAGACGGCCCCAGACGTGAAGGCCAAACCAGACTAGACCAGCCACGACAGGACAAGGCGCGACAAGAGGAGACAAGACTTGAGAAACAAACGCCAAGGCAGCCTCCAGATCAGCCCAAGATGACCCCACGACGCCGCCAAGAGGGCTACTGACATGCCGACAATTCAACAGCGCGTGGATATTCAATGTTTTTTGCCTTCGACGCCTGTTTGCTGCCAAAGGGCTCTTGAGGCTTCGAGGTGGCCGGAAGAGAGCCCACATACCGTCCCACTACAGTCCAGGGGGGGGGGCAAGACGGCGCCCCAAAGCGGCCCTCAAGGGGCCTTCAGGAGGCTTCGCTGGGCGAGGGAGGACGTCTTCTGGTGTGGGGTAGGGGGTATAGGGGTCAAGCCACACGCGAGCCGCAAGCCGTCTCGCTCACTCCCGCCTGCCCTCTCAACACATGCGTAGCACCCGAGTCACAGCATACTCAGAGGTTACCACTGGAGGGTCAGCCACTTGGGACCAAGCAGACGCCAGGTGCGCGGCGCGACCCCGGCGAGGTGCGCCACACGCGCCACGCGCACTGGGTGCGCCAGGCGCTCCTGGGGCCCAAGCTTGCCGGGCGCGCCTGGTGCGCCATCGGGAAGCGTGCCGTCCCCCCACCATCCTTGCCAAGAGCCAAAGCAACATTGCGGCGGGGTGGCGAGCATCGTTTATCAAGGGCGCCCTCGAGGGCGCGAAGTCATTCGCGCTTCGCGCTTCGCGGTTCGGCTCCGATTCCTCCTCATCCTCCTCTTCTCCCCTGGGAGGCGGCGCGAAAGCGCGAAGTCATTCGCACTTCGCGCTTCGCGCAGCGCGAAGCGCGAAGTTGGGAGCCCTTGGTTTATTGTATGTGCATCCGCAATCCCGTTGCCCTGGTTTTTGAAAGAGATGGTGTGCCCGCTCGCACCAGACAATATGAGGGCACCACCACCATCCCTGAGAAAGAGCAGTACAAGTGATCGCGGGGCGCCCGCGCATGGTCAAGATTTTGCCGCGACGTGTCCTTCTGGTTATTTTCTTCACAAGGGTGTTGGTGTGGGGGGGTGGCGGCATGGTCGCTGGTTTGTCGCCGGTCTGATGGGGGACGGGGGTTGCATTGACAGGGGGCAGGGAAAACCCTTCCCGAGGGGGTCGGTAGAGAGAACTGCCTAAAGCACCTTTTGCCAAGATGGCTGGTGAGATGCAGATTCGCCATTTTGCAACAGTTTTTGTTATTCATGAACAGGTTTTCGGGCTCTCCTGGCTTGGAAAGCATGGCCCTCGTGGCCACTCGTAGCCTCAGGCAGGGCCTGTATCAGGGCAATGAAGCCAGCCCCTCTCAGGCTGTAGTCCGAGGCTCCGTGCAAGCGATCGGCGTCCGCCCACCTCGCCCCCCGTCCCAGGGGAGAGGAGGAGGACGAGGAGGTCTCCAGAGTGTCTCTGCAGGCCTCTGGAGGCCTCTGGGAGGTCCCAGAGCTGCGAGGTCTGGACCACCAAATTGGCACCTCGGAGCTGCACGTTGCCTCTCCACACAGGGGCCAGAGCATTAGCTCAAGCCCGTAGAAGCTTACGTTTGAGACCCGTTCCAGATCAGTGTCGTGTCTGAACTAGCGCGGGTCTTCAACATCCGCTTCGCCATCCCCCTCTTCCTTCATCTTCGAGGCTTCTTGTGGGCATCTGCGTGGCCTCTCGGGGAATCTTGCGGCCCCCACCACGTCTGGGAAGTGGGCGGTCCCAATCCTGCCAGACCCCCAGGCAAGCTAACGGTATCGCGATTGGCATGACGCGTGCGGTTTGTTGGATGTGAGTTTCATCCCGAGTTAGTTTTCGCATTCCAGGGGCCCAGTGGGGGCACTCAGAGGCCGAGGTACCTCAACATGTTCCGTCTTTTTTCCACAGCTCGATGATATTTGGGCATGTGGTGCCATACCCATTCGTGTTCATACCTTGTCTTTGGTACGCAGTTCCTTTCGTGCACGCGAGCGCAGGATTACCCCTTGCTCGGCGGCACGAGGACTGCCATCTACACGTGGCACGGCTGTAGAATCCAGGCAAGCCGTGCTTCTTGGATGGAGCTTGGGTCGTGTTAGAGAAGCAACTGGGGCATAGCTCCTGAGTCTTATACCTTGATCTCATGGTCGCCGTCGCCGTTGTCGTCGTCGTCGCCGTCAGGCGATGGCAGGGAGCTAAGCTGCTATGCACGCGCATTGTGGTGGATATGCCTGTGGAGGGATTCTCACGCTCAGCCCAGCCTCGCACGTCTCCCACACATTCTCTGAGGAGGGAACGAGCGAGGACGGGAGAACTCCTTTTCCATAACCAATCGGTGGAGTATCGAGTGTGGGTGATAGGGCCAGTTGGAGAGCCGACGGGAAGACGGGACGGGGGTGAAGAGGAGGAGGCTGAGTAGGAGGAGGAGGAGGAGGAGGAGGAGGATGAGCAGGAGGAGGACGAGGCGGAGAAGACGGATGACGATGAGGATGAGGACGAGGGGGAGGGGGAGGGGGAGGGGGAGGGGGAGGAGGAGGAGGAGGAGGAGGAGGAGGAGGAGGAGGAGGAGGAGGAGGAGGAGGAGGAGGAGGAGGAGGAGGAAAGGGAGGACGAGGAGGAGGGAGGGAGGGATTTTGGTTTGCACGCGTGTTGAACCATCTGGCTGTCACGTATGGGCGGCGCTGCAGCTAGCAGAGTGCTTATAACAATCATTTGAACCGACACTCAGTCAACAAGGTCAGAACAGGAAGTTCCACAGATCCCGCCCCTAGCTAACCTCCACCTCCATGGACCCCCTCGAATGGCAGCTGGCGGGCAGGTATCGCTGAAAGGGCTGCAGTGCCAGGCCCTCGGCGGTCTCACAGACCGCAAGCGCCTGTCATTCATCAGGTGTGCAACACGCGCGTCACCGACTCGCAACCGTGGTCAGGAGGGAGGGCGGGAGGAAGGGAGGGAGGGAGTGGATGAACGGAAGAGGGAGGAGGAGGAGGAGGAGGAGGAGGAGGAAGAAGAGGAAGAGGATGAGGATGATGAGGATGAGGATGAGCAGGAGGAGGACGAGAAGGAGGAGGAGGAGGAGTACAGTACAGTACTCAAGCACTTCAAGACCATCCTCTGACTGTTGTGCTCTGGCTCGGACTGGGGCTCGATAGACATTGCTACGCCACCCAGTTCGACATTTCGCCTTACACGGCAACCATGCTGCTACAGCAACACCTGACGTTCTGCTGATTCTGTTGCACATGCAACAGCTGCTGACACAACCACGAAATAAGAACTAAAACAAGCAACGACACAGGAATGAATACAACGCGCTAGTGTGCAACGCAACTGAAAATCACGCAACTGCATACAGTACACAAGCAAAGAGAATATTGGAAAAGGCGCGGGCAGCAGGCTGATGGCCTGCAGGAAGAGGCCCAGCACGAGGGCGTGGCCGTATGGGTGACTCACTCACTCACTTCTTGCCTCCTCTGCGTTTCCCTCCCAGCTGGTGGGCCATGTTGTTGCGAGGAGCTCGGTTCATCTTCACGTCTCCTCCCATTCCTCGAATGGCTTCGCTGATCAGCTGTTCGACTGGAATCCAGAGCCCTGGGATCTGCATCATCTCTGACGGGACCTCCACAGGGCTGATCATGAGGCCTTTCACGGGGATGTTGTGATCCTCGGGGTTCTCCTTGAGCTTGGCTTGGAGCTCGGCCGCGACCCCGTCCTCGTAGGGCAGGGTCATGTTGCCGTGCAGCGCGTACGTAATGCGACTCTTCGGAGACACCCCTGGCTTGTCGAACGTGGGGGGCGCCACTAGCTCTCGAATCCATGATGCCATCTGTACTGGAACCGAGCGCCCCATCATGAGCGCAAGCCTTTTGCAGCCTGCTACGACCGCTTTCATCCGCGGCGAAGTATCCTTGAAGCTGTAATTCTCGATAACGGCTAGAAGTGCGAAACGGGCTTGGGACGCGGGGCCTGCGAGCTCCTGCTTGCCTTTGGCCTTCTCCTCCGTGGTGCGCTTGAGGTAGTCCTGGAACGAATTGTTGATGGCCTCGATGGCTGCTGACTTGCGATCGACGATCGCGGTGGAGAAGGCTGCATTCTCGAGGCTCCTGGCTCTGGCCTCGAGCTGGATCAGAAGGGCGTCCCTGGTCGAGTTCTTGTCGAACTGCTCGTCTTCCTCCTCCATGTCGCCCTCCGTCCTGGCCTGCTTCTGCAGCGGTCCTGATCCTCCCAGCAAGCTCAGTGCGCGTGGTCTCACCAGTCCCGAGCTTGACCCTGCGCCCTCCATCAAGCCGAACGTGAAACTTGGAATATAGATACTCACGCAAATGAAGAAAAAGGTGCTCGAGATATGAGTCTACGGATTCAAGCTCCTCAAGACAGATGTGGCACTTCATGTTAGATATTTCTTGAACTGCATTTTCATATCTACCACGACTATAGGGGCAATATTGTCTGATCAAGCTCTTCTTTGTATGTTGTTGTGCTACTGTGCGGTCGCGAAATACACTTCCACATATGGTGCACGTATTGGTCGGGGTACATATCCTGGCTACATGTAGTTGGCCATGCGTACCTCCTTTCGTAGAGGCGATGTGTGCTATTAATTGTTTCTGGTGGCCCATCGGGTGCAGCATTGTGTCCAGTCGTCCAGAAATTCTCGGCAGACGAAATCTCCTTCGACCCCATCCACCTGAGTAGCTGCGCTGGTGGCAGCTGGCGAGAGAAGAAAATGAGCGCGCAGCTGACTGACATCAAGTGCGTGAAATTCTTCGCTGATGTCGGGGTCAAACATAATAACATCCAGGCGACCATCTGCCTGCAATAAAAGATCCTCGCCAGGCTCTATGGTCCCAAGCGAGTCTATGTCCTCGACCTTCTAGTAACACATCTCCATCTACTGCCATAGAGCCTAGCATAGCGGCCCCAGACTGGCCATGAAACTCTTTGGCTTTGCTTAATTCCTGACACCACCTAAGTCGTCCTGGATGTCCCTCGGCGCAAGGGGCCCTTTAGACTTGGCCCAGACTTCCATCCCAGAGAGAGCACTGTTGATCAAGAGGCGTTTCACGAGATTCACCTTGAGCTTCCAAGGCGCAGCGAGAACCAGAAGCTTCCCATCGTATAATAGCTTACTCGGAGCGACTCGAGTCGCTTCCCGACTTCGGGAGCAGGCGAAAACGTGGAGGAGGCGGACGCGGAGGATCGAGGACTGAGACTGAGCAGGAGGAGGCGGAGGAGGAGCAGGAGGAGGAGGAGAAGGAGGAGGAGGAGGAGAGGAGGAGCCAGGGGAGGAGGAGGAGGAGGAGGAGGATGCGTGTGCACACATGCGTGTGTATTCATTTCTGTATGTATGTATGTATGTTTGTTTGTATGCATGTAGGTTTGTATGTATGCATTTGTGAATGTATGTATGCATATAGATATGGATGTTTATATATAGCTCTCTCTCTCTTCTCTTCCTCTCTCTCTCTTTCCCTCTCTGTCTCTATCTCTCTCTTTCCCTCTCCCCTCACGTACGTACATCCTTAGCGATCCATATGTATACACATGTAAGTAGACATGTACACATTAATCATCGTTATAGTACTCTTAATGGTACTATCAATAAGGCTGGTCGTAACACTAGTAACATCGTACACACAACCCATATTACCACTACTAATAACAATGGTATTACTAGCACTACTACTACCACTGCTACTACTACTACTGCTACTACTACTACTACTACTACTACTACTGCTACTACTTCTTCTTCTACTACTACTACTACTACCGCTACTACTACTACTACTACTACTAATACTACTACTACTACTAGTACTACTACTACTACTACTACTACTACTACTACTGCAACTACTACTACTACTACTACTACTACTAGTACTCGTACTAGTACTACTACTACTACTAATGCTCGTACTACTACCAGTCCTAGTACTACTACTGCTCCTACTACTACTACTACTACGACTACTACTACTACGACTGCTACTACTACTACTACGACGACTACTACCACGACTCCTACTACTACTACTACTACTTTTTCTACTATTTTTACTACTACTACTGCTGCTACTATTGCTTCTGCCACTACTACTACTACTACTACTACTACTACTACTACTACCACTAATACTACTACTACTACTGCCACTACTACTACTACTACTACTACTACTACTACTACTACTACTACTACTACTACGACTACTACTACTAGTACTACTAGTACTACTACTTCTACTACTACTCTGACTACCACTACGAGTACTACTCCTAGTACTACTGTTGCTACTGTTACTACTGCTACTACTACTACTACTACTACTACTACTACTACTACTACTACTACTACTACTACTACTACTACTACTACTAGTGGCCTTCGGCCTATCCCACCACCGTGCCTGGATTGTGGGTATAAGGCCCATTGGATGTTCGTTGGGGTGTCGTGGGGGGCCTCTCGGGGCCCCTAAGCGGCAACTTTGAGGCCTCTTGGGGGCTGTATTGGGGCCTTTCGGGTCGTGTTGGATGCCTCTTTTGGGCCCCACAGGGAGCCTCTTGGGGGCGTCTCGGATTCTGAACGTTCCCGTCTCAAGGAAGGTACATTTCAACGTAGCACCAGACGTGGGACGAGTCGGAGTAGGAGTAGGACGCGGGGGATGAGGAAACGGAGAACACGACT